CTGCCCTCTGCGCTGGTGAGGAGACTGCACTTCCTACCAGTCATAGCCTAAGCACTGGACTGTCACCCCCGATGCTGAACAATTCCAGGAAGTGCCTCTCACGGTGTTTATTTTCCTCTTCCCTGCAGCACAATGTCACCATTGTACCTGCCTGTATTCATATGTCCTGTTTGCAGGACGACTGTTAAGAGTAGTCACACAGGAATCAAGGACATAGAAGTCTGAGGTTTTTCCCCGTTATTTTCATTGAGCTGCCCTGATCACCCCCAGCAAGGCTTGGTGTATTCCTCTGTTCAGTGAGAACAGTCATATTTGCCTTCCCCATTATTTTACAAAAAAAAATTTGAAAACATTTGTAGGTTTAGGGAGAGATAGCTTGGTGGTCTAAGTGCCTGCCTGGCAAGCACAAGGACCCAGGTTTGATCCCTGGTACTGCATGCTGTGCGAGCCCCAGAACCCTGGGCATGCAGTGTCAGCCCTGAAACCAGATATGGTGGCTAAAACCTGTAGTCCCAGTGCTGAGGAAGCTGAGATAGGAGGATCACTACAAATCCAAGCTGCATGGTGAGACCCTATACCAAATAAATAAATAAATAAATAAATAAATAAATAAATATTTTTTTAAAGAAAAAAAAAAGACACATGTAATGTGGCCTTTGCTCTAGGTAGAAATGGTTTCCCCCAAAGATGCAATGGTCTATATAAATGTGAATTCTGCTTGTACTAATTGCCAGATAGTGGAAAGATCTGGCACAGTAAGGGGCCTTCTATCCACGTAACACCTTGTATATATTACAAGGTACTTTTCCAACAAATATGGCAATGTTCTTCAACACATGATACTCACTGAGGACATAGTTGCCTTTGAAAAACAATGGCAAAAGTCACTAACACAGGCCCATATCCCTCATACTCCGAAGAAACACTAAGGCCTAAGCTATCACCCAGAGAGCTTTCAGGTGGACCTTCCTAAATCCACAGCTATGCTCCAATCCATCTTTTCTAAGAATCCAGCCCTCTCTTTGAGAGTATCTTTTCTAGGAAAATAATCCCACCAGTTGCTCTAATTCATCTTATTCCCTTCCCTACCATCAAAACACCAAAGTTTAAAAAGCACAACACTGAAGTAATTATCAACCTGGATGTTATACTCTGTGGCTAAATGCTTTGGCAGTGAATCCATAGACAGGGATTCATCATTGATGATTTGAGGTTTTAGAGGCAACAGAGTTGAAATGGAGAAGCAGAGGCTAGCCCTTCCATTTACTGTGCTCACCCTTAAAGAAAGCTGGGGATCCTGTCCCATACGCAACCAAATCGCCTGCCACTAACTCTTGCATGGGTTTTTACAACTTCTTCATTTTTTCTGAATAAATATCAAGATGTTTGGGTTTCTGTTGTTATAACAAATACCTAAGCAAGCCAATTTAGAAAGAGAAGGTGTTCGTTTCGACTCACACTTTCGGAGATTTCAGCCCACTGAAGGTCAGCCTTTGGACTAGAATAAGGCAGCACATCATGGCAGGAAAGGAAGAAGACAGGCTGCATCCTCATATCTGTTTCAAGGGCATGATGCCAACAGCCTTAAGCCCTTCTACTAGGCCCTACCTTTTAAGTGTCCACCGTCTTACAAGAGTCCCATGAACTGGAAACTGTACCTCCAACATACGGGCTTTGTGGGGCTTTGCTATATTATCTAAATATAGCAAATGTATATTGAGCTTCTATTCAGTAGGAGGTCCTGCCAGATGCTGTGAATATGACCAGGAACAAATAAATACGATCTTCCCCATTCTGCTTCAAAACTTCTGCCATGTCTCAGAAGACGGTCCAGCAACGTGGACAACTGACCTAATACAATGTGTAAGGTGGCTCAGAGGTGTCCACCTTGGAGCTGTGATATTTAAACTGATAACCCATAACATGAGCAGGAGGAATGATGGGAGAGAGGGGCTAGACTTAGTATCAGCTCTCTCTTTCTCTTTGAAGACTTTAAAATATATAAACTGGATCTCTATCACACAAAGCAGAATATGAACAATTGCACTGAGGAAGTCAAAACTAGTATAAGTGCCTTCCCAAACAGCAAAAACTAAGACAGCTCACATCAGGATACATTTCCTCAAGGAAGTAGGAAATTTTTCATGTGAGTATGCCCAGGATATAAGGAACACCTGAGCGTAGAAATGGAAAAATTGAGCCTTTTGTTTCCTGATCAATATCCTAAGGCCAGTCTTCCTTTGCATTTCAATTTATTATCCTCAGGACATGAATCTTGGGCCTATCAGACTTGACATTGGAAGTTACAAGAAAGGACAAGCAAAATGTGATTGGATAGAAAAATAGCAATTTGCACATGAACTGCTGCCCACTATTTTTTTGTAGTTGTTGGTGTGGAAGGAAAAGAGATTTGGAGGTAGGAGAATCAAATATTATTTTCAAGAGCTGGCCAGATTGCTCAGTGAACTAAAGCACAGGCTTCGGCAGGCACAGGAACTGGGGTTCGATCCCCAGCGTGCCGTGCCAACCCTGCCTCTGGGGTGCACTGAGACAGTAACTGAGACTGTGCCTGATGGAGCGCAACTGTAATCCCAGAGCTTGGGAGGCTGAAAACAGAAGGATCACTAGGAGTCTGATCTGTGTAGTGAGACCCTGTATATCCTGTACTAAATACATTTTTTAAAAAAAAATTTCAAAGAGAAGTCCCAGTTAGGACTTTCTATATCAGGTTTCAGCTTTCATGGAGGACTATACATGGGAGAATTGATGTCATTAGCAGTCAGACCATGAAAGACCTTCTGTCCCTTTCTGCAGAAATGTTTGCAAGCTGTTTCCACGAAGATATTGACAAATGGTATCCATGGAGTTTAGTGATTCATATAATCATAAATTAGGACTAATTTCCTTACGTAAGAAAAGCAACATAGAGTTAAGTGTTCTCATTCTAGTCACCAACAAAATGGCTTTGTTGGTGTGCAGTTCACAATGAGATGGACTGTTTTAGTCTCATCTTGACCCTTCATAGATGAGTCTACCCATAATCAAGATCTCATGAACTTCTTCGGTTCTTTCTTTGTCTACTCACCATCATAGGTCTAGGAAATATTGTTGTGTGGTTCACATTTATTTTCTCAACACGCAAATCCTTAGTGCTGACAAGACAATCAATGAGTGAACCAGTTGTTGAGATATATTTCAGTAAAATTGCTGTCTGTCATATCTCCCTTTAACCGACATTATCATGCTCTTAACATTTATGCTAGGCTCTGATGTCATTCTATAGCATCAAGTTGCACTTCATCTTTGACATTTTTTTCATATTATAACTATAATTCAAAATACCTTTAAGCCAGGGAGATAGCTCAGTGGAATAAGTGTTTGCCTGGCAAGTGCAAGGTCCTGAGTTTGATCCCTGGTACCACCAAAAAAACCACAAACTTTAAAACATATAGTGTTTTATTTCGCCCCTTCAATGAGTTCAAATTGCAAATGTTATTATTAAAATGGTAGGTGATGTGTATCCCATTCCTATTGATTTTCATTCATTTGATCGCATCTTCCCATTGTAAAATCTCAACTTCATGGCTAGATAAACTTCTATAAGTAGACTCAAGATGTCTGAGACTTCCATTCCTGAGCAAGATGTTCAATAGCCTATAAAGTAAAGTTATCTTAACCATATATAAGAAGTCAGTAAATAAATTCACAAGGATATGAAGCTAATTTAAGAATGAATGTGTTGTTCCTGGGGGAATTCCCACAAAGCAATGGGACATTCTACGAAGGGACACACACAAGAACCTGAAGAGGACATTCAGTGATGGAGACCTACTCATGTACCCTCTAAACACACCAGCCTTGCAGTTGCTTCTTCCATTCAACCCTGAGAAAAAACAATTTTCATGAAACCGACACTTGGCGAAGGAAACCAAAAGTGAATTCTAATTACACTGAAGAATGTTCAAATGTAGAAATGGTCCCTTGTTGTCCAGCTATCAAGTGGACATCACAAGTCCAAGGACAGACACCTAGAATCTTGCCTTACTCTCTCATTTTTATGCCCCACTCCACACAGCCTGTAAGTCAACACTGAAGCCCACTGCCACCATTTTCTAGGTGTCTCTTCAGTCATTACTCTTATCCACCCATGCAATGTAGCTGGGATGACAATGCCATGGAAGTCCTCACACAGTGTCCCCATGTGGACCTTGTGGACAGAGGGAATTTTCTTCAGAAGAAAATAATACTTAAAGTCTTGGATGCCCTCAATCTAAAGCTGTTCTTGCTTAACCTTGGAAGAGTTGCAAAGTTTCCAACATAACCAGAATAAAACAGGAAAAACAAATTATACCACATGATCTGCTCTTACCCTTGACAATTCCAACTCAGGCAATTATGTACACCTTGCCCAACCAAGAAGCTAGGAATTTTCAAAGGACATTCCTTGTCAGTATTCGGTCTGCTTTTGAAACTGAAGATTGGAGAAATAGCAGCAGTAATTCAGGGTTTGGGAGAACTGGGTAAACAAAATTAATGTGTTGACAATCAGAGAATTCAACAAAAACTACACATGTACTTTTTCTAATGTTGCAAACAAATTGAAATTCCTTTGAGCTATGACACAGAATTCATTCATTATGAAAAATACAGATTTCAGCTATTATATTTCCAATCATTAGTGAGTTTCCTGATGTCTGTCCATTATTATTCCTGGAGGGAATGATCTCCTTAGTAATTTTTAAGTACTATCACTTTTTTAAAGAAAAAAATCAAAAATTATAGGATACAGGGGATTTGCAGGCTTCCCATTAAATTGCCACTACATATTGGCTAATATAGGTGAAAATCAGTATGTTTGACAGGTGTGATTTTCTCATCAAGGATTAAAAATACTCTGTTCTTTGTGAAGTGCCGACAAGCATGAAGAAGCCACAGCTCTGCCTGCATGGCCAAGTGTCCCTTCCACAATCACTGAGAATGACAAAAAGATGAATCCTCACCTCGGTGGCTGGTGAGTTCTCTGGAAGCAGAAGGCAGAGGTGTGTACCGGTGCTCCTGAGAGGCATCTGCGTCCACAATGGAAGGCTGCGTGATAAAAGCAAATGTTAGCAGAAGCAACACCAAATGCTAAACACCCTTGTTTACCAAGAATGTCTCCTTGGGATCTGAGTCTAGAGAAAATATTATCCACAGATACTCTTCTTCAGAAGCCTGAGCTAGCTTCATGGGAATAGACTTCTGGTAAACACAGGGGAGGACACAGGGCTCTGAGGGGCCTCAGCACACAGGCACGGCTCTGGGACATGGAGGTGGTCTGCTTTCGCGATGAACTGACAGGAGGTGGAGGAGGAAAAAGGGAGGAAAGGTAGAAAATGGTGTAGACGGTAGTGTTTCTATCACAGGCTTTCTCCCAGCAATCCCCACAAAGCAAGCGCTGTCTGTGAGCAGATTTCTATGGAAACTAATGGAGAGGCTAAGCACTGCCCTGGGGTGGGTGAAGAAAAGCAGGGCTTACAGGGGCGCAGTGGCATGGAGTCAGAGGCGAGTCAGAGCTGCAAGACTCTGCAGCATGAAATCGCCAAAGGGAAGGACATAAATTGTCACCAGTTGTGCAACTGAACTTCTGGCTAAGTTAACAGGAATGCTGAGAAACCCATCTGAAACTTGGATTTTTACAAAGGCTGAGAACCACAGTGCTTTGGCTTTCTTAATTTTTGCACTGTGGCCTATCTGTATGTACACAATGCGATGTATTGGGATAGCATTCAAGCCTGAATATTAAATGTATTCATGTTTCTTGTACACCTTTTTCATGAGCCTGAAGGGATTTTTTTATATATTTTAGTGTGCTTTCATGTTGACCTAATACACCACAGGAGGTTAGGTATGGAAGTATCCTGTAGTAGAATCGTGTTGGTGCTTAGTTTTGGATTTTGGAACACATAGGATTTAGGATATTTAGATTGTGGATGTGCAGGTTGTATAGTGGTTGTCAACAAAACATCATTATCCCAAGATTTTAAGAGAAAAGGATGACACTCATTTGCTGTACACAGACATCTCTTCAACTATAGAACTGTGTGTATTATAGCTCAGTATGTTAATTCTCTCTCTCTTCAGCAATATGTTCTTGTGGGCTAAAGCAGGGGGAAAAGTACTGCAGCATAGGGTGGGTGGTAACCTAGTATGAATAACCAGTAACCTAGTACCAATAACCAGAAAATCACATTCACAGCACGGGTGCTTAAAGCAAGAAGTATCACCACAACAATACTTAACTGAGATTTCTAAATCAAATGCAACTTTTTTTTTAATATCCAAAAAGAACATCTGCTAGGATCAAAATCCTAAGCTTACAACCTTTCTAGGCTCTATGAAAAAGTAAATTTCATTAATTCTACGTTTTTCTTTCCGGAATAGGAAATGTGTTCTATGGGATATATTTGCCCTGCTAGAAGCAAGCCTTTTCTCCAAAGAGATTACCTACATTATGGGAATCAAAACTAAGTAGGAGATTAGACCTACTAGCTAGAAAAATCCTTTAAACTTCATTTTTGACATTTGAGATGTTTGGTTAAGCAGCTTTCAGTAGAGACTTATAGAAAGAATTCTGAGTGGAATAAAACCAGAAACTCTGTCCCGAGGTAGAAACAGATTTTTAGGAAGCATTTCTTCACTCCAGCTCAAAGGCAAATATATGATATTTAAAGTCTGATCCAAGGGTGTGGGCCCCAGAAGGATAAAATCTCAGTCACCACGAAAAATGTTCTTAAAAGTAGATAAGACTTGTTATATGTATCATTAGATATTTAGGGAACTTCCAGAAATTGGATGAAAATTCAAATACTGTAGTCAACACTGTCCCCCTGCTTGGCATTGGAGCTCTTCAATAATCTCTGTGTGACAAGGGAAACACAATACATATGACACTTTCTCAGTCCTTGAAGCAGGACACAAATGGGGTGATGAACAGGGACAGTCATTTCACAGCTCTACCATGACTTCTCCATATAGTTTTGCTCTACCGCATCCTATAAAACTGAACCTAAAATCTAGTTATGCTATACTGTGGTGTTCCTTAGTGCTTTTAATGTCTCTTTAGTCTACTGACAGTTTAATGACAGGTTTTCCTAAAATTACTGGAAGAAACACTACTTTTTCCCCAATACCCCTGATTGTGTAAAACATTAGAGTTCTGTAACCAAGAGCAAAAGAACTAGGTTTGTTTCCAAGTGTAGACAAAACAGAATGGTGTGGCTTGAGTTGTCTTGAAGCCATCATTCCAACTCCAGGAATTTAATTACTTTTCTATTCACTGTTCATTTATAAACTCAAGTCACAGAAAACAACTAGGAAAGGGGCAATTTTGCAAACTATGCCTTTTGGTGGGATTTGGATGGCTCAATGCTTAGGAAAACAACTACAAATGCAGATTTCTTGGCTTGGCTCTTATCAAAAGGAAGCTTATTTGGTCTCATTTCTAATATTACACCTAGGAGCATGAATCAGAGAAGCACAATTATGATGTGAAAGAGGTGGACAAGGTATCTTAAATTTGCACACTGTCTGCTAAAGAATAAAGAAATCACCTTGAAATTGAAGCTTTATACCCACAGTATTTTGTATTTAAGATAATAGAAGCATCAGTAGAAAAATCTGCATAATTTTTTAACCTAGATTAGGAAAACATGCCTAAAATGGGAAAAAGGAAATTTGGGCAAATCTGAATCTTCAGGACTGTAAAGATTTTTTCCAATCTTTACATCTTCGCCAATTTTCCTAATTGCCCCCGGCAAGGATTTGTACTTTTACATTTTATTTTTATCTCCTGCTAGCAGACACTGGCCACATCTACAATAAAATACTTCTAGTATCTGGGATACATGAAGGATGTCCCAAAGTCAAAAGAAAATATAATAAATAAATAAAGGAAACATCAGAAATTTCAAAGAGAAAACTGTAAGGCAGGAAACATAAGAAAAGTTGGTCAAATTTGATAGTACTGAAGGCAACAGAAATTAAAATGCAGCATAATATCTCCACCCGGCGTACTGGCAAACTGTTAAGCCTCATAATAGTTAGTGCCAGGGGGATTCAGGGAAATGAATGCGTTAGCTTCTCATCTCTTGCCGGTGGGAACATGCATGGGTTCAACTACTTTGGAGAGTAATTTAACAGCACCTAATAAAATTGAAAATTGGTGCAGCAATTTCATTGAAAATATATATACTATGGAAAATTTCATACAGGTCTGCAAGTTGAGACATAAAACAATGTTTATTGCAGCATTATTTATAACAGAAAAAAAAAACGGGAAATAACTTAAGTGTCTGTCAATGAGGAAAATGGATAAATAAAATGCCATCTATTCATATGACGGAATAATATTTAGCATTTAAGAGCAATAAACCTGATTTATACATCTCAATTTGAATAGGTCTAAAAATTTATATAGAGCGAAAACACGAGTTGCCAAATGATAAATGTAGTGTGATACTATTTGTGTAAAAACATAGTTCTTTGATTTCATATATGTATGGATACAGGTTAAAATTGTCAGAGAAATGCCCTAAATTTATTTTTAAAAATGTCTTTGCCAGGGGCAGGGTGATAGGACTGGGGCTAATGGAACGTGAGGGATTGTCAATTTTATAAATGATCATATGATTTCTTTCACTTCAGGGACAAGCTTGATGCAAAGTGTCAAAATACTAAGAAGTACACATTTTGGATGGCGGTTATATGGGTTCATAATTTTTCTAACTGTTCTACATTTTGGCAATTTCTTGAAATTAACCATGAAAATTTGAAAAAGCAGTGTCTCTTCTTATATCTCTGATCCCTGCAGTCCTATGTTTGTACGAGTCCATAATAAGAGAAATTTCCTCTAATGGTTTTCTAGTACTTGCATAACATGGATTAATGCCATCTTTGGTTGGATTTGGGGGATGAAAATATTTCTGTTGCTTCTAAAGCTACTGAGTGTGACCCATGGCACGGAAAAAGCCGATAATGGATAAATATGTGTCTGCCGAGTGCCAAGACCTGAAGTATTCGTTCCATCCTTGTAAGACCTTGTGCTGAGGATTTGCCAAAGCAGACTGAAGGCTCCTTGATTCTTCTCCCATTCACAATTGGAGAATTGCTAATAATTTTTTTAAACTTCCATCAATCACAGTAATAGTCCCTAATATACAGCACTCTGCAATTTCCATAATGCAGGGAGGAAGAGAGAACTTTGGCAACCCTGTTGGAAAAGAGTCAGTGAAAACACAGTGCATTCGATGAGATACTTGCAGGGTGAGAACTTCACTCAGCAATCACAGAAAACCAGTTTCTTCAGATAAATGTCCAGAATCCAGGGCTCTTCCCTGTGGGTGCCAGCCATGAAAACTGCAGTCCAGGGGATATTTGTGAACCTACAGTTGCACCAAAGAAACATGATACAGGCCAGAGGAAGAGAGACTTGGCAGGCTTCAAAACAAGAAGGGGGCAGCTACAAAGTTGTTTAATAGCCATAAATCTCCCACTATTTTTCACAAAATACCATCTAAGACCACAGCTCCACAACTCATTCCCCATCACTCAGCTCAAGTGGGGCACTTTGGCATGCTCACTCACCCTTAAATCACACACCGCATAAAGTGATCCGGGCCTGGGAAATTTGTCAGCCTCTTTCAAGTAAAAGCAATCTTCACTTTTCATCACAATTCATTCCCTGAAACCGTGGCATCAAGCTGACTCCTCTAAAAACATTTATTTTTTCTCTCAGAAGAAAACACATCACTCATTTAGTTATCAAGTATTTAGTAACCACCTAGGACGTGCCAGGCCCAGTACTGAGACTATCAACACAGAAAAAATGAGGACCTGGTTGCATTTCTGATGCATCAAAAACTAATAATCAGATCATGGTTAATATTAATTACAAAGGATCATCAAACCATGTCATTACTCTCCTATTCTGAATCAACATAGAATGTTGGCCCCGCCTTCTATTTTGACATCTCAACAGTGGTATCAATGATTATGTCATCATTTGTTTCTCATTCACATTATTGGAGAGTTTGGGGAATTAACTGTAT